TTTGTTGATCACATTGTGTACCGCAACTAATAATAATGATTATTCTTCATCGTATTAAAGATGAGTTACAAAATAGTTTTGTAAGTAGATCCTATTGATAGGACCAAAATATTTCTTCAGTCAGTCCAAACAAACTGTTTATTCATCGACAACCATGAGTTCTAAAAGTAGAAAGACGAGATGTGTTATTCACAGTTTTTCAAGCATTCGTGGCTGATTTACACCGTGGTTTACGAAAAGTAATCGAAAAACTAACCATATACATTCAAATCAGATGCGAAAAACAATAGTCACGTCTGTATGAATATACGTTCGTATTCTTACTACTTACTATTATTAAGTAGTAAGAGATTGTATAATTTATTATTTTGTCCCTTGGGTTCCTGATGGAACATAGGGCTTCAGTAGCAAATCTACAGTGCACTCTCTTCTCTGCAAACTTTTGAACCTGCCTCCGCAACAGCCCAGGATCCTTCATTCCTTCCTCACACTATCTCCTCCATGTCACCATCAGCTCGGACACCAAACTCGTCGTTTCCCATCTGGGTTACACTCGAGTGCGCGTGATGTCCCCAGTCGGTCTTCTCAGTGCATGCCCAATCCATCTCCATTTCCTCCCACTGCATATTTCTTCAGCGATAGCTTCTTGCTACATTCGTTCGTCGACAGCCAGCCAGCCAACCACAGTTCCTTCTTGCTTATTCTTATGATTCTGGCCATCTGAGCTTCAGTAACCAGCCAGAGTAGGTGGCAGTTGTTGATGAATATCTGTAGTTTGTTGGAAATGCGTTTTGTAACCCACCAAGTCTCTGAGCCATACAGAAGCACTGACTTGACGTTGGTGTTGAAAATCACCATCTTGTTCACACTTTATGCTGAGTGCAGTGTAGAAGATCTCCACACTGGTTTCAGGTTAATGGACGCCTGCCTTGCTGTTTTCCGATCCTATCTACTTTGACGTCCTCGTCAATGCCTGTGCCGCCTGTAGTTGAAACGATGCTTCCTAGGTAGGTAGGTAGGTAGGTGAAACAGACAACTTCCTTTAAGTTTCTCCGTTGATGGTGATTGGTGCTTTTGTTGTTGATGCTTTTGTTCATTGGGTATTTTCATCACATATGTCTTCTCTTTGTCCACCGGAAGGAAGTCCCGTCTTCGATGCCCTGCCTTTCTATCAAATTGTTAGTTTTTGCCTGTAATACTCATTAAGAATTGTCTACACTGGATTGTTATAATTATTCGTGAAGGTTGATGATATTTTCAACTGATCTAAGCAGTTCAGTTCCTACTAAACATCTATATTTCTTAAATGAAGTTATATGGAACTTCATTTTTAGGTCATATATTATTACAGTACACTTCCTACCATGTAACTTGGTGGTTGAAGCAATCAGGTTTCGTTCATACGGTGTACATTTGAATGCATAGATATACTCAAGCCCTGTTCCAAACGCATTTATATCCATCTGTATTCATTTGTATCTTTCTTGGTACTTGTTAATTCATTCGTAGGGGGAGAAATGCCTTCTTAGAGTACATATTTATAATCCAATAAAATTATGAAACGCCCAAAGCATTGGATGCTAGCAATAGTTCACATTGTATAAATATGATAAAATCCTGTTGAATGTTTCACAGTTATTAAAAATATAAATTGTTCTTCATTGAAAAAATTATAAATCTTGAAGAACCTATCCCTTTTCTTCACATGATCACAGCAAATAAATCTACTAGTTTGATAACCTTTTATTGATTCTTACCACATTTTTGTTTTTATCTTTCGAAAACTAGTCTGAAGGTTAAATTATATAACCTAATCAGCTGATTTTTTACAGAAGTAATATGAAGACTTTAGTGCAATTGACAGGAATTTCTGGACCTGGGTTTGTTGCCTTTTGGCACCCATTAGCAAGGCGTATCTACAACCTTGACGAAATTGAGATTCTAAACTCGCGTCACCTTGTCCTGTAGTCGGAGACGTTACCATTGAACTATTCGTGCCTCGATTGACCTCCTGTAGAACTGAATTAAGTACACTGATTAGGGACTGAATGATAACCAACTTCATTTTGTTTAATCTTAAATGCTGGTCAAATTCTGTCAATCATTTTGCTGGCGAGTGCCAAAAAGCACGAAACCTAGGTTCATGGCTTCCTACAGATCGTCTCCATCCAACTAACATCTATCTCAGTGTATCGCTGTAGTAAATCTCCTAGCCTGGTTGCCACATTGCAAAATGATCGATAGAATTTCATCAGCATTTAAAACTAGTTAACATAAAGTTGGCTACTCTCCAGTAACCAATCAGTGTAGTCGGATGATTACTCCAAAGGAACTTGAATTTTCTTAATTTCCTATTTACACTTTGTTGATGAATTCTAACAAGTTCAGAACTTAATTCCAAGTCTATCTGCCAATCATCTGGTAGCATATAACATTAAACACGTTGTGATGTTTTCACTAATATGTCAACTAGCTTCTTTAATGACTTAGGACTTAACAGTTGCATTGGTCAGCACCTGGTCTTTGATGTTGAACCTGCTTATGATATAAGTGTTAAAAAAGTAGATTCAAAGGGAATACAAAAAAGATTCTCAGTCTGAAATTTTTTTCCTCTTTCACAATCAGTTATTAAATTATTTTGCATGGATTCTTTTGAATACTTTCTTAACCATATGTAAATTTTTTCGTATTCTAATGTATTGGTGATAGGACAAATTCTAAACTTGTATTTATTGTATTAAAGTTCACCAGTATCTATAGTTATCGTAATTTAAGTGAATAGTATGATTGGAAATGTGTAGTCGCATCAGTTCATCTTTCTATAATGGGTATTATGTGGTTTAAGGCTATTGGAAAGAAGCTTTGGATCTAGAGTTTTTTTGTTTGTTGGCACTTGTGAGTAAGATGCATCTTCCAACCTTGAAGGAAATGATTTCCGCAACTAACATCAATCATAGTACATTGTGATGATGTGCTTTATAGCTTGCTGGTCACATTTCAAAAGTGATGTATAGAATTCGGTCAGCACTCAGGACTAGAAAACATCAAAATTGATTATTCTCCAGTGATAAAACAATGAGAGTTATCCTCTAGTTTTACTAGTAGGTGGAAGAAGTCTTTCTGAGTTGAGTTAATTATTTTGTGGACAGTGTATAATTTACACCTATTGTTGTTAGTTCAGGATGCTGGATTACTTGACTAGAAAAAAGGGTGATTTTCATATTACAGGAATGGACGGACAGTGAAGAATGATATATACAATGAATAGTTGCCTTGTATGACAACTAATACACTATCAAAAAGTACCGACTATTAGATTCAGGTATTTTGACAAATAGATCATCTTTTAGAATCAGTCGAAGATAATCATCGTTGATAAATATCTCATTACCATGGGACCCTTATCCAGTGCTCTTGGTCTCTAGTTGAAGTTGAATCAACTGTAGTTCATAATTAAGAAAAAAAATCAATTTCTGTAGAAAATAAAGATAACAAAATTAGTTGAAAAAGCCTCGACAGCGTCGACGGAGAAGTAATTCGGCAACTGCTTCAACACTACGGAATAACACAAACCTTTGTCAGTCTCATTCAACGACTATATGAAGACGCCATATGCCAAGTATTTCACAATAGGAAGCTCAGTGATGCCTTTGAGGTGAAGACAGGATTAAGACAAGGCTGTCTACTATCACCCATGATCTTCCTGATTGTAGTGGACTGAATCATGTAACAAATAGTGAGGAGCGAGAAGAGGTGGATACGCTGGACTGGGGAAAAGAACCTAGAAGATTTGGATTTCGCCGATGACTTGTGTGTGATGTCACACAAACTTGAAGATCTACAGGCAAAATCCAATAAGTTGACAGAAAAGGCAGGGCTTCGAAGACGGGACTTCCTTCCGGTGGACGAAGAGAAGACAGAGGTGATGAAGATACCCAATGAACAAAAGCATGAACAACAACAAGCATCAATCACTATCAACGAGAGAAACTTAAAGGAAGTTGTCTCTTTCACCTACCTACCTACCTACCTACCTACCTACCTACCTAGGAAGCATCGTTTCAACTACAGGCGGCACAGGCATGACGAGGACGTCAAAGTAGGCAGGATCGGAAAAACAGCAAGGCAGGCGTCCATTAACCTGAAACCAGTGTGGAGATCTTCTACACTGCACTCAGCATAAAGTGTGAACAAGATGCTGATTTTCAACACCAACGTCAAGTCAGTGCTTCTGTATGGCTCAGAGACTTGGCGGGTCACGAAACGCTTTTCCAACAAACTACAGATATTCATCAACAACTGCCACCTACGCTGGCTGGTTACTGAAGATCAGATGGCCAGAATCATAAGAATAAGCAAGAAGGAACTCTGGTTGGCTGGCTGGCGACGAACCAACGTAGCAAGAAGCTATCGCTGAAGAAATATGCAGTGGAAGGAAATGGAGATAGATTGGGTATGCACTGAGAAGACCATTGGGGACATCACGCGCATTCGAGTGTAACCCAGATGGGGAACGACGAGTTGGGTGTCCGAGCTGATGGTGACATGGAGGAGATTGTGTAAGGAAGAAATGACAGCTTGTGGAACCAGGTTCCACTAGGAACCCAAGGGACAAGTAATAAAATAATAATAATAATGGCATATTGGTGTAAACACTTACTGCTAAACCAGTAAGTCGTAAACTCGAATCCCATTCCACCTACCAACTTCTGTTTAGCCAGGGTAGTATTATTTTTCGTTATTGAGTGCATTTTAATTTTTTGTTTCTTTTTGAGTTAAAAAGAAAATAAGTGTATAAACAGTTTGTTGATTGAGTTTCTTTTCTTTTCTATGAATGCACTTTTGTTGTTCTTTTCTAGTTAATTATATTAGAGTGCACATTATATATATATATATATATATATATATATATATATATATATATATACATAATGGTAATAATAAATACTTATTATTCATTAATTTTATCCTATATATAAACTATTAAACAACAATAAATCATTTTACATTTTGTTAGTTGAATTTAGGGGACGTAGGTGAAAATAACAAATAAACATGTTGATTCATTTAATTTATAAATTATTTATCATTTTGTCTATTTATATTATTCATACAAAATGTTTACCAATATCAATTGTTTGTGAAATATATATACCATCTCCATTAAGTGGATTTGCTAGTATAAATTATCCATTTTTTGGATTTTGGTTTGGTAATATCCCTATTTATCAAAAGTTATACAGTAATAATTATATTGAAAGAAACCTAGTAAAAAATATTCTCTTTATTCCTCAAAACCAAAATCATATTATAAACATAAATTATCATTATTACCATCAATATCATCACAGAAAGCTAAAAAACGTAAGTATGAATATATTCAATTGGGTAAAAGATATGCTATGAAACGTTTATATCATCAAAAAAATTCACTTAAACCTTACAAGAACAAAAAAGTCAGTAATTATAAAGTATCCTTGAAAAGATCTAAGTATAATCAAAATTATTATATACCAACTTATATGAATAGGAGAAATTTACAGTCAGGACACTTTAGAAGTTCTACAAACCGACATAATCGAAAGCGTTTAAATCATAGAATACTAAAAGGTATAAATTACAAATATGTAAAATCCAACTATGATATTATAAGTTATCAATCGAAGAAAGGAAAACTCAATCAATACTTTGATCAAAAAGTGAATTATAAAACACTAATGCCTACTGATAATAACCAATGGTATCGTAAATATCAAACCAAAGAATACAAAAATTACAAAGATAAAAATAATTATAACAAAATTAATTATAATCAGTTGAAGTCTTCAAAAGAAAGAATCCCTATTGACAAACCCAAGCTTGGTAAAACACTATATAAATCTAATTCTAAATCATTTTATGCAAAAAAACAGAATTATTCCTATGATATACCTAAGAAAAATGATTATACTCTAAGAAAACGTATACCTATTCCTGATAAACCACTTCTTACTTACACGGAACCGAAACATGAAAAAATTCATATGAATAAACAAGAAGCTAATGAAGAATCAAGAAAGAAATATAAAATATCTAATCATCAAATTGTTAATCAACCTAAAAAGAAAAGCATTGATAAGAAATCTGTTGCTAAAAAAGTAAAAAATAATAATAAAAGCAAAAAGTTGAAATCAAAGAAGAAAGTTAACTCTCATAATGCTGAAGATTTAAAAGGTACGAAAAAAGATCGTGTCAATATAATTAAAGTAGTCAATGAATACTGATAAGTATGCATTAACCTAATAGACAGTATATTGTTTTATATGAAATAAAATGAATCAACTTGGTGTATACTGTTGATTTATTGATTCTTTCTCTGTCGGTTGGTAATTCGAACATGTGAACACCCTAGGAGGTGAGTAGTATCATTAAGGAAGGAACATACTGATGTAGTTTGTAATTTGTGATAAGCTATTTCTCTAGTCGAAGCAATCAATATAAGATAATTTTTGATAAAATATCTCTTCATATCATACTACTTTCCCTATGATGCATTAATTGTCAGATGTGTGATACTACGCAAAACTACATGTGTAGCTGCAGTATAGCCAATTTGAGCGAAACCTATCAAAAGATATAGATCATATTACTTCATGATGCGAAATGTTAGATTTCTATTACAATCTTAGGAGAACCACGGCAACCCATGCTTATCACTTGAAGAAGGTGACTGATGAATACAAAGTCGAGATAATTAGAATTTGACGTGTGGTTGGATAGCAGCTGAAGACAGGTCGTTTTTTGCTTACGAAGGTAATAGCATTTATGAATGAATTGTTATGAAAAGGAGAGTAGTGAATCGTTTTGGACTTCAAGTGTGCTGTTATAAAAAGATCATTGAGTGTATCAGCTGATTGGCTGTATAGTCTGTCAAATAATGCGATTTACACTGATGAACATCAATGAATTCATCGGTCATTTAGGGATCAACACCCAAAAAAACTAAAACTACAAAATATTTACAACGTCTTGTGTTCATTTAATAAAATGATCAGTAATGTAATTCGGTTTTTCGTAGTGATAATAAACTTGAATCAATTCAAAGTAGGATAAGTAGGTTTTTCGAGTGATAATCATGTTTTTCAGTAAACGTGCTAGGACATTATATCAAAGGGGAAGTCACTCTCGATCGAATAGGGTGGATGAAATACAAGATTCTTACACATGTGAAATATTTCCTGTGAGTGAAGATTCAAATATATGAGTCCATGTTTTATCAAGCTGAACTCTGGTTGATAACATAAAAACTGCGGTAACATCGCTTGCACATATACACTTCGTGTAGTCAGTCAGTTATTGAACCAAGAATATCCTAACTAGTCTAGTAATGGAGTAAAATGCTGGGACAATAACCTCGTAGTGACCAACTGCTATTACATACTGTTCATAGGCTTCATGTGATGGTGTTAGTAAAGGTCAAATAGATTGGTCACATAAGGATAGGAAGAGGTTTTAAGTAATCACGTTCAGTTGATGGACTTGTAGTCGAAATGAATTACTCAGCTGTGCGTCAATAATGTGGTGTTTAGCAGATGAGCTACATTCTATGCATCAATTGTAACAGCGAATTAGCGTGGAAATTCGGGCATAAATGGCGTCATCACCATCATTGGGTTTGTTTCATAAAATGATAAACCACTAGTTTATTAGTAGTATTACTAATGTGTTTGGTCAGCAGTCAATATAAAGACAGGACCCGGCGTTACAACATAACGGCTCACTGTGCTACAGCTGATATCACAATCGCAAGCGAAAAGCGACCAAGACAAAAGGTAAAGGAAACTGATGGAAATCTCTGAAAAGAGAGTAAATATAAACAAAACAACAGTGAACTACAGTATGAAGATAATACGTGAATACACTTATGCCAATGAGATCGATTCTAAGGCATATCGATTTGAGTCTTCAAGCATCAATTTAAGTTGTCACACAGACTTCAATCAGAGAGTCTACATTTCCCGTCACAACAACAGCTAGATACTTCATGAACTGATGTTATTTTTCAGTCCAACCTCTTGTTATCGTTTTCTAACCTGAACCTATTTTAGTTAACAATGCCCAGCGGGGGACATTCAGCGAGCATGTGAGTCAATAAAGGTTCATGTGCTGATTTCAGAACTGAATTATGAATTAAACTATTCGCGCTTAGAATTCACTGGAACTAGTACTTCAGATTGATGCAGGGAGAAAAACAGTTACGGTTGCATTGCATATACTTCGGTTAATCCCTAAAACAGATCACAAAACTTGTTAATCAAACAATTTGCCAGATGGCTCACACAGCATTCAACGTCTGTATATACACCAAAATTGTTGCAGTAGGATGAACTCCATTGTATTTGACCAGACGTAGATACATACATGCAGCACATTTATGTTTAGAAAGTAACAACTCATCACAGTTCACAATCTTATCATCTGATTTACTGCTTTTGCCGGAAAATCTATGCTGGACGTCTTCATTACTGATGTGATGACACTACGGCATATGGTTCAAAGGCAACAGTGGTCGAACATTTGCTTTGTTGGCCATAATGCAATAGTAATAATAATAATAATAATATATTTGCTTTATTCTGAACCATAATTTTATTTACAGTACAGAATTTTCGGCAAAAATATTGAAGAAATTTACTCATTATACAAACGTGTGAATAATTTAGTGATCTACAGCAGATTACAAATAATTATAGTTTTGTTTTAATACGTAATTATGGTGAGGTTAGGAGAAATGTTCACTATTACAAAGCTTATTAATAAGATCGTTTCTAACATGCTTTTCTCTAAGCAATATGCAAGCTGAATAAGGTATAGATGAGTTTTTGCATGTAGCTGTACGTGCGTAAAGTTTAATAGTCTGCTACTCATCTTCCTTGAGGACAGACAGGGAGAAAAAAAAGCTTATTGTCAGATAAAATATTTATAGTCAGCTTTTGCGAGAGTCAAGATACCTTACCACAACCTAGTCTGTCAGTATGGCCAATGGTGTGTAGTGCACCTTCCTGGCACCAAAATGAAACTACGGTTAAAATAAATAGATTAAAGTGAATTAACTAAATAAACTTACAGCTTGCCTCCGGAAGCTTAAGACGTTCTATGTTTTGTTTTAACTAGCTTGCATGCGAGCAGGCTTCGACGTCATTTTTTGCTCCCATTGTGCCGGTTAACACGCACCTCCTCAGAGTCCCTAGTTCAGCCATACTAGCCAAACAAGTTGGATAAACTATACTCCTATTAATTACTATTACATCTATACTACTGAAATATATTGCTCCTTTGAGTATATTCGTGAATACCAGTTCCTTTGATTTGTGTTTCGTTATCAGCAATTACACGTTAGGTAAGGTACTGACAAAGCAGGTACTAGAGTACAGCAAGTTAAGTACGGTTATCATTCGACTATTTGAGATAGTTGCAGTTTGGCAGACTAGAATTTACACTGAATGATGATTGAAGATGAGATGAAAATCTGGACCGCGGCCGGATTCGACCCGGTGGTCGCTGGTTCGAATCTGACCACGGTCTAGATTTTCATCTCATCTTCAGTCATCATCCAGTACAAGTAGGGTTAGTCAAGCATTACGTAGTATTAACACATCTTGCACTCCTACAGGTGTATCACTCGCTTTTCTGACAGCGTTCAAAGTCCTACGCATTACAGCATAGTCTTTTTTCCGAATTTAGGAAAGGATAAGGGGTAACAGTAGGTGAGAATAGGCGAATCACAAAACTAACGAAAAGCAGAAGTAAAGGCTGTTATATCAGAGAGTTACAGTTTCCTTATATAAAAGGTCAAGCAAAGGATTTTCTTGGTAATCAATAAGATATAAGGGATTCAAGAAAGATTAGAAGAAAGGCATAAGCCAAGATGGATAATATTTGATAGATTTTAAACTACAGAGCCATCTTTAAGACGACGTTCATGGAAATGTAGCAGTTCACAAAAGTCCTGTTCAAATATTTAGCTGAGATTAGCTAAGAAGACTAATAACCAATCTTCGTTAAGTAGTTGTTAAACTTAGAATAACTTGATGAAGAGACGGCTCATATACTTAGTAAAATTAGTTTTAGTCGAAGTAGGTGAATCATCCAAAAACAGTTTCAATAATAGGAGAAGGATTAACACCCATAAATACACCAGCTTCACTAAGTAGCAAAATACATTCCTTCTATCTGTATAAAGTGTAGTGCTTTCTCTCAGAAAAATAAGAATGAAGCCAGTTTGCAACCCATGACTCAAAATGAATTCTGGCAAACAATAGTGGAGGTCTAAGGACAGAATAAAAGGCAGATAAAACATATTAGGCATCTTTGTCCAGATTGGCAATAATACCATGACGTAAAATAGCTACAGCATCTAAATTGTTACTGCTGCATTAGCAGGCAAACCGAATTGGATCACTGAAAGCATCCAATGGAGGTTCAAGCACGCGAATAATAATTTCCCATCGTTTTTAGGAAGTTTGAGGTTATTTGTTTATTTCGAATCTCATGCTTCTACCAGAAGATATGCACTATTTTAATTTCCTTCCACATGGTTGTTATATACTCCTTAGTGAAGGACTTATTAAAAATCTTTGTGATTGGATGACACCTTGAACACTTGCAGGCGTGTTAGAGCCTATGGTGAGATGTCAGGTGAGCTGTACTCATCGACTGGTGTCCGTCAAGGGTACCCACTGTCTCCATTCTTATTCAATTTCATCATAGATATTCTTACGAGGTCTCATCTCATCATCAGGTTACACAGACGTTGACCTAATCACAGGAGAATTTTCGTTACACCTAGAATATGCAGATGACATAGTCCTATCAAGTGAAGATGCTGACAAAATGTGGAGTCTTCTGAACACCTTGAGTGTCAATTTGAGAATGTCCGGATGCGGTTTTCACCACCCTAATGCAAATTTTCGCTCCAGTACTGGTCTTCAGTGGTGCCGCGGCTAACAATAGAGAGTGAAGTGGTTGAGTGTGTTGACCACTTCACTTACCTGGCAAGTAGGATCAGCCCTGGTGCACTGATCAGTTGCCGATCAAATCTCTGCATGGATACAAAAGACTCGATTGGCTTTTGCCAATTTACGCACCTATGGTGCCACCGTGATATCCGATTATCTATTAAGGGTCGCGTCTACTGCACAGCAGTCCGGTCTGTTCTACTGTATGGCTGTGAAACATGGCCATTGAAAGTGGAAGACATGAGAAGGCTTCAGGTGTTTGACCATCGTTGCCTTCGTAGTATAGGATGTATTCCATGGTGTCACCACGTGAGTAATGCAGAAGTCAGGTATA